ACTCTCAAGAGTAACTTTTGGTATTTGCTCTCTGTATTGTTACCGAGTTTACGATGATTATTTAGGAAATATGCATGTCTGCTTCCAACACTTAACTCATTACATCAATACTATATTATCTCTAATCTTGAATTATTAAATTTTAATGATCTTTTGGTCACTTTTTTAAAAGAAGATTACATGAGAAGTATATTTTCTAAACCCTGATGCATCAAAAGAGAGAGAACCTCTTCTGTTTGTGCTCATGGATGACATGAACAAAAGCCTACTTTTTTCTTATATAATCCCTGATCTGTATGTATCAGAGTACAAATTCAATACAAAGTAGCACAAAGCTGCGTTAAGTATTTAACAGCAGATATTTCAAGGCTAGTCAGACATACCAAAAGTGTTCAGTTGCACAGAAATGATAAGACAATTGATTTTTTATCTAGTCAATAAATCCAGTAGACTTCCTACATGGTTGCTGCTGTAAAGCATTTTTAAACATTAGGGCGGTAGTGACACTGACTACATCTTAGAATATCTCCTAATCCCCTGTTCTCTGGAGTTGGCTAACCCTAAACTGTGTAAGTCTCTAAGGGTTTCTCAACATAATACTTTAATTATCATGGCATCTCTAGAACAAGGTTTGCCCACAATCAGCAGTAACAGTTTTCTTAGCCAGGATAGAATCCTTTCATATGTCTCTCTAAAAAACTTATTATTGATAGATATTGTTGCATTATTCCAAGTTTTCAGAAGACAGGCAATAAAATATGTGTATGTCTAGGAACAACCTTAGTTGTTAAATAATGTGCTATGTTTTAAAGTGTCTTATAATCCATAGCCCAATCAGAAGCAGAACGAGCCTTAGAAGTTGGAAATACTTTTGCTTATCTTTCAGATACTATAGGATTGCTGCCTTCTAAATGGAAAGAGGCTCTATTAAAATGGTATGCTCTTTGTACAGAGAAAAATCCTTTAGTTTATTAATTTTTTTCCTATTGCCATGTTTATATAAGCCACAAAAATTAAGAACTGTGAAGAGTTCTGCAAAGAAAACACTGTCATTTTTCCTCCCTTCACCCTACACTACCATGGCAGTCTTTTTTTTTTTTCTGTCAAATAGGAAGGGTGGAGGGTGAGATAATAAGGTTTATGGAAAGATACACTAAGAGAACAAGAAATCTCATGTCTTTAAGAGAAGAGTCACTAAGTGTTGAGAAAACAACTAGAAAATGTTTAAGTTCAAATTGGTCTTGAAGGAGAGAAATCCATATGACCTCATTTTGAATTTGATTTCAGAATGGGATGTATTAGGAGATAATAAATTTAAGGAATTTAAAGGAAAAAACTTCAACTAGATCACCTTTTGATTTACGACAGTTACAGTTGAGAAATAAAGGGATGGGACTGTGCCTTAATGCCTAGGCATTAAGGTAGGATGAAGAATGTGATCCATACGTATGTACCATTTTGCCTATTCTGAAGCTGGCTGTAGTAGTAGCAATCTCCCAATTCAATAAGTGGCTCTCTGATAATGAAAGAATCTATGAATTGGCCTGGTTCTGCTCTAGCCAGAGTCTCTCTTCAATCCTGCAAAGCATCCTGCAAATCACATGATATTTTGCGATGAATCCTCTTCTACTTAAACTCGGTAGAGTGGGTTTTCTTATCTGTACCTTAATCCATTTGAGACATTGTTAGATAATTAAGTGGATATATATATACACACACACACACACACACACACACACACACACACACAAACTATGAGATAATATGGATGGAATTTAGCAAATATGAATCTTTAGCAATGTATTCCTATGGTTTACTAAAGTATATACAATTGAGGCACTGCTGCCAACTTTTGGAGTAGACTCTTAATTGAAAATTCTGGAATTCTTTTTTAGTTGTGCTTAAACCTTTCAATATATTGAAGTTCTTGTGGTTTATGTAACATGCAGGGGCAAAACAGCTATATAGTAGAAAGAGTGTTCTAAAATAGCCACAAATTGTATCATCTTGTAATGGAGCACTAAGAATTTATATCCAGATGTTTGTTTCTTCCTTATAGAATCAGAAGTAATAATTGTGGCACATTTTTATATCATAGCACTTGTTTTATAATCAATACCATTCTGAGAAAATTACTGGCAACTGGGGATTTAAGAACCGCAAGAGATGCTTGATTCTCTGTGGAAGCTCATTATGAAAAAATATTCTGAATTTAATGAATTTACCACTGGACAAATAACACGTGAAGGAAAGTGTGCAGGAGGCTTCTTGTTTTCTTACTCCTAACAAAGGGTCAGAGGAAAAGGGTCTTTTTCCCCCATGAAAGTTGTCAGGTTTGAGTGCGGTGCTAGGAATTACTGATGTGTCTTGCAATTATAAAGGAAGTCATTTTGGGGGGAAAGCCAAACTGTTCAGCCATCCTCAATTGGGGTTCTTCTTTGGAACCACTGAACAAAGAAAATGATATATGTGGCTATTTTCTTAATTCTCTCAAGGGTGGTTATAATAGTACCATTCTAGGTGTACAGGAGAAAAGGTGATTCATTATACTCAATAAATGACCTAGGGCATTGGGGCTAAATTCTCTTGAGATCCAGTTGAGAAAGGCCATATGATGAGTGAGATAATGAATCCACTGTATTTTTCTGGATTCCTTCTCATGAGAAATAATATACTTCCTCAATATTTAAGGAAATTAGAGGTGGGGTTTTCTGAAACTTACAGCTGAAAGCAATTTCACTTTATTTCTTACTATAAGACATGGTGAATTTCAGGTCACTTCTCTGTTTCCTCATTGACGGATATGGGGTAGTTAAGTTAATGTAAAGTATGCATTAGTTAGCAAAGAAGTTTGGTACCTGTAAGCAAATAATTATTTTTAAAGTTATAAATCATGCCTCTGCTGTGAGCTTCTTTTAGAAGAGTGATAATTTGTGAGCTTCGTAAGATCTTGTGGTTTCAAGATGTTTCATTCATTGTTAGAAAAATAAAAGAGAATTGCACTGAGCACAGTTTGGATGAATAAACCTTTGACACTTAATGACTTA